TCTCTTGCATGTCAGACGAGGCCAGAACTACTGCGCATGCATTGATTAGTCGAGTGGCCGCCCAGGGGTTGCGACCAACAGTTCCACGCCAGCCTGACAAAAATCATCAGTTCAGTATGAATCTTGGAGAGGGGCCCCACTTAGAACATGCGAGGCTGTCATCTAGAAGCCTCTGTAGACCAAGGCTCCTTGCATCCGTGCCCCCGTGTTCCCACCGACTTTCCTTCGAAAGATGCGATCTTTCTCGAGTAGCTCAAAAGGCGATTATGAAGTCTTAAGACTTAAGAGAAACAAAGACCTAAGATCGCCTCCAGGAGAGCGGCCTGTGGCTCCCAAGGGGTGCCTCCATGGACGCAGCCGGCCTCGCAGTGCAGAGTTTCTGACCCATGCGGTTCACGAGCCGTGCCTGTCCTTCCTTGATGCTTTTATAATGATTTTGGGTGAAAGGCTCGGAACTCGGAACCCATAAAATCGCAAGGAGCCAGGGCTTGCGTCCGACGCTTCCGCGAGAGCACATCTGGACTTGCTTTTCTAAGAATGATTTATACCTTTGCTTAAAACTGGTGTGGCACGGGCTCAAATAGGGAAAGGCCAAGCCTTTGGCATCGACACGCTTCCGCAAAGCTTCCGCCGAGTTCGCATCAAACGTCGCGGACGGAGACCCTACACACAATATATATATATATATATCTCTTCCGCGGGAGCTTCCGCGGCGATGTGCTTCCGCAAGCCCTTCCTCATGCTTCCGTAGCAACAGCACCATGCAGTTTCGTGGCCTGACTTCCGTATGTGCAATTAACTTTGAGTAGTCAGCGTGAAAGAAAACCGCGCAAATTAATTCAACTAGCTTTCAATTTACATGCGTTAAGATGTAGGGGTCCCGTCGAGCAGCACATGCACAGACGGGATTAACGATGCCAAATCTTATTGTTTCACTTTCTTCGTGATTCGACACGGGGCATATCGGGCCATTGATACTTCATATACTTCCCGGACAAATGGGTTCTGCTCCAGCTCATGGCTGCGCATGCCGGCATACATGCCTCTATAGACGTGCCCTGTGACCCAGTACGCACGCCTAAGAAACGCGAAGGTTGTTGAACTACTAGTAGAAATGGCTCTCGGTGAGTGTGCCTGTCTCATGAAAAACATCAAACCTGTAAAGCTCCCTCTTCATTATCATAGCTGTGTGTCATTACATGTGAATGAAGCTGAGAAGCCGAACTACCTGGCTTTTGTGCTGACTCGCCGAAGTTGTGAACGCAAGATGCTTCTCGCGGTGCTGAGCATGCGCCAAGGGGCACGGCAGCCGCGGGTGAACCTCTCGGCCTCGCTGCGACACATAGTCCATGTCTTAAGACCATTCGTCACAACAATCTCTCAATCTATAAGGTGCAAAGCAAAGCCACCTCTCTGTGGATCTGCGCTGCAAGCTCACGTGTCGGAGCGACCTTACTCCCCCACAAGCGCCCTCAAGTCGAAGCCCTGCACTATACCGCACATTGCTGTATCAAACCAACTCACTTGTCAAGGCAGGGCAACAAGTTCAGATCCTGTGACGGTTTTACTTGCAGCTCGACAAGAAGGTGGTGCTTGTAAAGGCTCAGCGGAAGGTGTGCGGGGCTTGGCAGGGCTCCAGAAAAGAGGATAACTCCACAATGTCCCTGGAGTGCAAGTGGCATCATGACAAATGCGGGATCAAAGCTGCAATCTTGAGCACGCGGCCACCAGTGCAAGGGGGCCAACGCCAGCGTCACTGGTGCCGGCGCTGGTCTGCTCTTCCTGTCGAAAGTGGCTGACACTTCCGAAGGGGATACGTTCCTGCCTCAGATGTTTTTTTCTTGCTCATGAGAGCGGCATGCGCTGCCAACTGACGCGATAGCCGAGCCTGGAGCCAAGCATGAATGCTGTGAAGCGCTGGCAGCCTGAGCTAACATCGAAGATGGCATCTTTGGCTCAGGGCTGGCGCAGATGTGTGAAGGGGCCACACAGCCTACAACTTGGCGAGACCGAGACCTTCCTTGCAGTCAAGAGGCAAGAAGGCTAAAGTCTTGCCAGAGCCCGTCCTTATGACCATCGCGGGCTGGTTTTACATGCACAACATCGCACAACGTTCTCTCCGTGCATGGATGTTTTTGTTCAATCAGTGACTGACTTCTCGCAGCCAGCAAGAGCCCGCACACTCGCTCTGCTGCAGAAACATGTTTGAGAATGATGTGCGTTGTGCGGTCTGAAAAGACATTTCGACACTCCGAGCTACGGTACAACAACTCCTCTGAAGCTGTTGGGGCAGGGGTCTTCGCAATAGCAATGCAGTCGCGCCCGCTGAGCAGTAGAGGCCAGGCGTAGGCCTGCACATGTAGAAAGGGGACGAAGCTGTGAACATCTGTGAACTGTACGAAGTAAGTCAGTCTTCTGGCCGGATCCGCACATTTGCGCAACTTTTGCCATTTTGATCGTCATAATGGTCATAATGGTCATACTGTCATTATAACACTTATAGCACATAATCTCATACCAAGATGGATACAAGTCTCAAAACAGATGCTGAACAAGAGACAGCTCGTACCATTCAAGCCTGGATTGGCGTTGGCTCTGTGTAGCCTGCCGCAAGCAGCTCCTTGCCTTGGTCTTGGAGAAATCGTGTGTATGGTGTCTGGCCCTAAAACACCAAGGCGCCTTACTGAATTCTACATTTGGTAAAACAGCGAAGACAACTGAGTGTGGGCAGCCAAGTTGCGGAGGGCCTTTCGAAAAGGAGAATCCTGCACCACGGGATGCCCTTGAGAGTTTGGGATCTGCAAACATGTAAGGAAGCGTGATATTCTCATGCTGATTGGACAGTGGCCATGTAGGGGTGGGCCCGACGTGCATATTATGGGTCGGCCTTCTAGTGATTATTTGTGCTTCGAAGGAGTACCTTGACATGCGTCATGTCATGTCACCCCGACATGCTGTCCTGGAACCGAGTGACCGGCTGCACGTCACCCTCAACACCTTCGATCCTCACGCCCCGGTCATTTGGCGGACCTGGTTGAATCGATGACACACTACGTAAGCTTTGGCGCGCTGCACCCTGCACCAAGGACGCCCGCAACTGGCAAGATGTCAAGAGCCACAACTTGATAGTCCCTTTTCATCATCCCCTTTGGCCTGTGGCCTCAGTGACTGCTGTTGCTCCTGCAGCGCTGTGGTTTACAAGTGTCAACTTCGCTCCATGGGCGGATGTCGGCAGGGAGGGTTTTTTTTCGGCCACAACGTCCCTCAAGATTTGGCGCCAATCACTTCGCGGCTTAGCTCCTCGTCCGGATTTTGTTCCCTTGCTGCCTTTGGAGCCTGGGCCAAGTCCAAACTTCCGAGCTCTGATTTCAAGTTGTGGCTTCTCTCTTTTTGCAACACAGATCATGCCACGGCTTAGAAGTTCAGGGTTTGCCAAGTTTACGAAGCGCTGGATTCATCTACGGATGCGAAGCTTGCGGTCACCCAACTGTCCGAAAACCTCTGCGCTGATCAAGCCGATGCCTGGCCCGATAGATTCACTAGATTCACTAGATTCAATAGATGGATGTAGATCTCGAGCTTTACCGAACGCACCAGAGTTGCGGGCTCGTGGTTTGCTGAACTGCGGGGTTTAATGGAGTGATGAAGCAGATTCGGGATGATATCTGCCAGGACGATCAGGTGATGTAACTGCCTGTTTCCTCGCAGCGTGCAGAAGAAAACGAAAGTGGCTTCCATCACCTTATGGCCCCCTTGCTTTCCCGAATTTGAGCCGCTGGCCTTTCCTTAGCTGTCCAACACTCGGCAACTTCATTGACCGGGGTACAACCAGGAAACGGATCTGATGGGAGTGGGGAGGAAGTGACTCTTCAAAATCTTTCAGTCGCCATTTAGGTGGCCTGAACTGGATTTCTTCGGACTTTCGAGGCTTGAGATGCTCTTGCTCAAAATCTCGATTTATTAGCGGTATAAGACTGCAGTGTATTGCTCTCAACCTTGAGGCTCGAAGTTGAAGTCATGTTCCGGTCCAAGGATCTTCCCGCCCTTGCCGGAACGCTGGTTGACACTGGAGACCACCGGCCCCTGGTCCAGCCTTTGCTGTCCTAACGGGTCTAGAAGTACCGACCGGATACAACATCTATAGTTTATACAATGAAGGCACATACTAGCAAGCTACGGCTAAGTTTCTAAGAGGACTTTCAGGGGTCGCGTCTCAACACAGGACCTCCCCCACCTCGACCCACCTTGTCTGCACAAACAAGTCTGCCGCAGCATCCCTTGAGTGCGATGATACCCGGACACGCTCCAGTGGGAGCTCTGTTGGGGCCCTTAGGTCAACAATTCCCCCCCCCCCCCCCGGGCAAGTTTAATCGAGTTGCTTGGCGAGATCTGGTGAGACCTCCACAGGCTTTGCCCCCTCAAAAGAAGTGCACTCGACCTCCCTCGACACTCAAGTTCATAAGATGATGTCGGATTCCATCAGCATTGTCACGTCAAATCAGGTCAAGATGGTAGCGCGGCGCTCACATGGTCATGAGCGAGGGTCTGATGCAACAGCCCTGAGCTGCAAATAACAAAGACTCAGGGGAACAGTTGAACAGCAAAAACCGTACTCGAGCACATGCCTCCTGGCCCGCAGCTTGCAGCAGCTTGATCAAGTCATGGGCATTGCCTTCACATGTCGAGGTTGGCCCGAGCGCTTCAAGAAGCAGTGTGCAGGTGGCAGGTTCATCGGCGTTCATGGCGGCCCGAAGCTGCGTGAGCAATGGCCATAACAAAAGCCCCTGTTTCACCTGCACAAGAAACGCGTGCAGGCTTTGGAAGGCCTGGCTGTCTCTTGCCTCCCCTAATCGGCTATACATGGCTGAGCTGCTGTTAAACAAAAGATGCAGCAAGCTCACATCCATGAGTGGGTTGGTTGCCTTCGGCACTAACCGTCACTGCCATCAGAACTGCCTATGATACCCTATTGCCCTATGGCCCATTGAGATGGCCTGATCTCAGAAGCCACCGTTGCGCCGTCCGTAGCCTTTCTGGGGCTTCGGCTGCCGCTTGGTCCAGCGCTTCGGACCCTCGATGATGAGCATCTTGGCCTTGGTACGTGCTCCGTACTTCATCTGCTGTTCCTCCATCTTCTTCATGCGTGTCTCTTTGGCTTGCTTGGCCCGCTGCTTGCGGAGCCATGGCTTCTGCTTGAGCTTTTGCCGATCCCGGAGCTTCTTGTCCTGCTGCATCTGGTGTGCTGTCTTCAATTCTGTCGTACCAGCACCCTGGGCCACTGAGTCCAATCTTGCCCGCTTCTTGAGGGCACGCTTCTGCTTGTGTGTCAGGTGCTCTTGGCTGATCTTGCCATGGAATGGCACAACGGGCTTTCGGGAGTTTGGTGCGTCTACCGGCTCAGCGGTCGCATCGAATTCGATTGTCTTGGCCTCCGACTTCTTTAGCCTGCCCAATGCATGCGATGTATTCGATGTATCCTCAACTTCTCCCACCTTCTGGATCCGCCGCTTTGTCGCCTGAGACCATTTCTGGTAGGCGCTGCCCTTCTCCTTCTCCCCCTTCACCTTCTTCCCACTCTCGTTGCGCCGCTGTCCCTTCAGGGCACGACCGTCCACGGACACCATCGTCGGGAGGTACTTCTTCCGCTTGGCATCCCAGCGCATGACGCTCTTGGCCTTCTTGATGTCCGAGGCATCGTCAGGCAAAAGGTCCATCTGGTACTGCTCCATGTCGAAGCCACGTTCTCGTGCCTCCTCTGTGACGTCTCTCTCTGTGCTGAGGTAGAACTGCTCCACCTTCCCTCCCGAGGCTCCGTTGTCCTCATTGTCGTTGATGGTGATGTCGAAGTCTTCGCCAAACTCTTGCCGCACTTCGGCATCTCCTGTCCGCAGCCTCCGCCGCGCTGCCTTCGACAGATGCGGTCGGCTCCGTTTCACGGCCTTTGGCGGTGCAGGTGCTGAGGGCGCCGAGGGCCGCTTGCGAGACTGTGCACGACGGCGCCGCGGAGCTGAGGCTGCTGCAGGTTCAGCCAAGATTGCCTCCTGGGTGTCCCTTGAGGCAATAGCCGCCGCGTCGAGCTTCTCCTGTTCCATGGTCCGCATGGCAGAAAAGGACAGGACGTTGCCCAGCTTCTCAGCCCTGGGACGATAGCCACGAAGATTGCGAAGGTATGCGAGGTCGGAGGAAACTGCGGGCATGTCCGACTTGCCTGACTCTGCTGTCACACCTTTGGAGCCTGAAGCCCCTTTAGGTGCCGCGAGGCCATTGGCAAAGGCCGGGTGCACCAAACTCTGGAGGTGCGCAGGGCCACCGCAGTCTGCCAGGAGACGCTTGGCTCGGGCTACAGAGGCACGGGAAGCAGACGGCCGGGTCTTGTAGTAGAGCTTGTAGGAAGCCTGCATAGACTTCTGCAAACTCTGCAGCAGGGAGCCTTCTTCCAGCAAGGCGCCCAGGGCCTCCACTTCATGGTCCAAGGCCGGCATGGCACCGAGCACGGGTTCGGTCGAAGCTTCGTCCTTGTCCACGCCCTCAGTGCCTTCTCCGGGCAAGCGCATCTTGTGGCCCAAGAAGGTCATCAGCTCCACTGTGTAAGGCAGGTCGTCCAAAGTGACCAGCGATGCCGCAAGGCCACTGCGGCCGGCACGGGCAGTTCGCCCACATCGGTGGATGAACAGCTTGGCGCTGGCTGGGAAGTCGAAGTTCACCACCTTGGGCCCGGGAGACATGAAATCGCACGAATTCAGAGCTTCAAGAAGTATAGACAAACGATGACGAGCGGTGAACAACTATGAACGGAGTCCAGGTACGTGGTCCAGAAGCGGGATGTCCACGCCCCGTGCTGCGACATCGGTGGTCACCAGGATCAGGGCTTCCTTTTTCCGGAAGCGGGCCACCTGTTCTGCATGCACTCAACGCCATTCTCATGCATCAACATCAAGAGTTCAACCTTTGGAGGGATCCGAAATTCTGCCGAAATCACACAACATGTCCATTGAGGCAGCTCTTCGAACCGATGGCCTGTTCCTGACGAGCTGTCTGATCCATTTGACCATACACCACAGCCACAGAAAGACCGAGCTGACGCAGCAGCTCGTTGAAGAACTCCACGTGGTGCTTCGTCGCAACGAACCTCCCGCTGTGTGGCCAAACTAAAGCTCCCAGTCAACAATCCTTGATCCTAGCTTTTGCCCTCTTAGGGCCTGTTGAAGTCGCAATATGAGGGTGATGTATCTGCTGCGGGGGACTGCCGGGCGATATCGATGTGTACATATATTTATATATTAATTAATTATTGGGGGCGACAGCTACAAGGACTGCTCGCAGGATTGCAGAGGGATTGCCCAGTGTGCAGCTTGGGAACATGATGGTGGTCTTGCCCTCGTTGTGAAATCGACGCAGCACTGCCACGGCAGCTGCCAGCTTCTCATCTTGCCGGACAAAGAGATACCAAAGGCTAAGCTGCTCGGAAAGAGAGGTCTCTGCATCCAGGCGAACGAAGGCCGGATCCTTGATGCCGGCACGTGAAAAGGCTACAAGCTGCTGGGGAAGCGTTGCAGAGAAAAGCATCACCTGTCGGCTTGGAGGGCTGGCCTCTAGTACCTGCTGAAGCTGTTCTGCAAAGCCCAACTCGAAGAGTCGGTCCGCTTCGTCGAAAACAAGCACCTCCACGCGCTGGAGGCTCAGCTCTGCTTCAGAGATGTGGTGTGTCAGCCGTCCAGGCGTGCAAACGAGAATGTCCGGATTATTCGCCAAATGCTCAAACTGCGCCTCAAGGGCCTGGCCGCCTACCAGCACACAAATGCGTAAGTCCATGAACTTAGCCAACTGGCGGCAGGCCTTGGCTGTTTGTAACGCCAACTCTCGGGTGGGAGACAGAACCACAGCCCGGCAGCCCACACTCTCCGAGTGTCTCTGCAGGCGCTCGAGGATGGGGATTACGAAGGCTGCGGTCTTTCCCGAGCCAGTGCGGGCCATGGCCACCGTGTCCTGGCCCTCCAAAATCACAGGGATTGCTCTGCGTTGCACCGGCGTGGGCACCTTGTAGCCAAGGCCTCGGCTGAAAACTTGAGCCAGGTTCTGCTGCACGGTTCCCCTGTTCCTAGCAGGATTCTCGCAGAAGCCGCTTAGCTCGTTGTTTCTTTGCCCGTTTTGCACCCACGGCTCGTTCAACAGCTGATGGGCTCTTTCATCGGAAGCTTAGTAAAGCTTAGCAAGTTTCTTTGAAACGATGTTGAACACTTTGCCATTGCAGGCCAGGCATCGCATGATGGCTTTGAAGACGGGCGCGCTGAGGCCCAAGCCTTGAAAGGAGCCCGGTTTGGCCTTCTTGGCCTTCCTGACAGGCTCCTCTCCGGTCTCCATCTCCGTCTCATCCCTCACCGGCGCCATGAGAAGCGTCTTACTGGCAAGAGAAAGAATTGGAAGAGACCTGGCTGTTTCTAGAAGCTGTTCGCTTGTACATGGGAGGTGTTGGGTGTGGAACTGGCTGACAACATGCTTTGCTGCATGACAAGGCTGCAAGCCTGCGACGACGCACCTACAACCTGGATGTGACCTGTGACAGACTAGCGACACGGTGCTTCATTCACTTCACCAATTCAATCGCAGATAGGTTGGCCATGTCTTGCTGAGCAGGTCAGTGCCTGCGGAACGCGTACCCGACACGTCTGCCGGTGCAGGAAAGAAGGTGACCTGCAAATCAACTGATGAAGACCTTCACATGCCCCTAGTTTTGTTGCCACCTGCCTAAGGGTAACGGAGCACAGTTAGGAACCAAGACAGCAACACAATCCCAACTGCATGTCTGCTCAGGGAGTAAGTGCCAGGGATTTGCGTACAAACTGACGAGTGGCGATTTTTCACCAAACTGTGAAAAGAAAGAAAGGTCCTCGAAACCGTCAGCACCTGTGAGGCCACTTGATCGAAATGGTATTCATCTGTTTCAGGCAAGCTGCAGCCCATCCCGTGCGCCCCGCGCGACCCGTCCGGCCGATCCGGTGAACGTAGTCTTCCATGCCGCCTTCGCGCGGATCTTTTTGTTGGACTCCGTAACCGTTGTAGCAGCCTCCACCCCAACCCACACCCCCCCCCCCCCCCCCACACACACCCAAGAGCCCTATAAGCACCAAAGAAGGAAACCCTCATCACGCTCATCCCTGTTCGCGCGTGGTGCTGCGCTCTGACAAGGTCGAGCAGCCGGTCATTGAGTCCGGAAAATCAAAGCCTCTCAGAACTGCAGCTAGCTGCACTCACTGTGCAGTCACTGTGCACTCTGAGCCCCGGCTTAGTGAACCTGTTTTAGGCATTGCTGTTTGCAAAGATACAGAAGTGCCAGCGGGGAGCAAACCACCAAAGTGATGTCCTCGACATCTAAACCTCCGGCACACGCAAAGCATGTAGATCCACGCGCTCCTCTGAACTGAACTTGGGTGCGGGCCTCTGGCTGCCACATCCGTGGCTACGAGAGTCCTCGCCGTTCCGGCAGTAAACTCCTGAGCTTTTGCAGGCTTTGTAGCATCTACCTTAACGATCTGTCAGGAAGCTGGCTCAAGATTTGCCATTTAGGACCCAAACACAGCCGCAGCTTGAGCTCATGTCCACTGCCAAGTCACAGCTAAAGCACCAGCACGCTCCACCTGCTTGTGCTGTCTCCAACACAGTCTACTTCCACAGCCTGCAACCTGTCAACATGCAAACCCTTCTGCCTGCACACGCACACCCAAACCAGCAAATGGAGCAGCTTTGGGGCCTGCGTGAGATTGCCATGGATTTCGGCGCAGGGCACCTGAGGCGAGCCAGTGGTTCCACTTAGTATTGTGGTTCGCAACAAACCAAAATGTGGGCGAACCTCAAAAATAACGTGGTTCGTAATTTTGCAACGTTTTTCACAAACTCGGATTAACCCCCCCCCCCCCCCCCCCCCCGAAAAAATCTGACACTCAAATAGCCTCCCGCCTTCAAGAGCAGCCCAAAGCTCTGGAACTTTCAAAGCATTAGACTACAGCCCCAAGATCTTGAAACATAAGGCCTCCATCCTTCAAGCCCCACGATAGCCCGGAGTTCAGAATAGCGCTTTGAAAGTTGGTCTGGAAGTGTGCACAAAGTTCGGGAGACGCCGGGGACAAGAATTAAAACTTAGGGCATTGAAGCATCTTGAAGCCCGATCCGAAACCAAAAGCCTCTACAGCCTTCTCACGGCTGCAGCTCAAAGCTCTGGAACTGTAAAGCTTTCAGAGGAATGAAGTCTTGAAGGCTTTACTTACCTGAAAGAGGCCCCCCTTGGGCACCCAAACAACTTTTGCTCAAACCTGATTCAGGGTGGTCAAAAAAAGCCACCCTGCGATTATGTCATGAACTTTTCTTTTTTTGTTTTTTTGTTGGGGGGGGGGGGGGGGGGGACTGCTAATCAGAGCCCAACCTTTTGTAAATGAATATGTGTATGTATATGTATGTATAAATATATATATATATATACACACAGATACATATATGTATATGTATATGCGTGTGCGTGTGTGCATGTATATTAATTAGCATGTATTGTTCATACATTTTATAGAGTCAACAGCAAAGAGCGTCTTCGAACAAGATTGTCGATTGCCACTCGAAATCGGCCGTTGACTTGACAGGATATGTCTCCCTGGCCCGAGAGACATGGATACTCGCCACCGAGACTACAAGCTGGCGAAGAGAAACCGAAGCTTTTCTATCCCATCAGTTCTGTGCTCTGTGTATCCCAAGATGCCGTGAAACCAAAGCCCCAAAACAAGATATTATGAAACAATCCCAAGCGACAACGCCAGCCATGCGGAGCTTTGCCGCTAAGGCGGCGCAGCCTGATTTTGTGGCTCGGGGAGGGCTCGGGTTGAGTCTTTAAGTGCCTCGGATACGGGGGTGCGTAACTTCTGGCTTTGGATTTGCTTACATGCTTTCTTGTTGCGCCTTACGCTTCAAGGAACTCTGAGACCCACCATCGGCCTTTCTTCGTGTTCACGAAGATGAGTGTCTTCCCCGCGCTTCCATGCTCCTTGAGAAGCCTCGGCTACTGCAGCACTTGTTGACTCAGTGTTGGCACAGACTTCTTGGTTCCCACTACTGAAAACAGTATAAGACAGTTTCACACTTCCTTTCTGCGCAATTGGTGCGGGCCCTTCGAGCTGCCACGACTCCCTGCCAGCATCTCTCCCTCCGACTTTGCCCCCCCCATCCCTACCCATACATGATGTCGATAAACTCTCCCAAGTCACGAGCATGCACGTGCTGAACACCAATCCTCCCTGTTCTGGCGACATCTGCACTAAAGAGCTACTGTACCAATCAGAAGAATAAGAAGCATGGGCGTTCAACTGTTCAGCTTAGCAGCTCCAGCAGGCGCGCTTCTTTGTCGCGCTCGCCTGGTACATGGCAAGTCTTCAGTGCCCTTAACAGCTTTGGGCTTTGGGGTACTCTTTAAACGTCACGTTTTCCCGTCTTCACCACAAAAGCCTACTGCTCTTCGTCTCTCTAATTGTTAAGTCAAGTTTTGCGGGCAACGCTTGAAGATCCTCGATGATCCTCTAAGGCCTCCCTGCGAACTCTGAGGCCTCTCATTATTTTGTTCCATGTCTTTCTCCCTTTCAGCCAGCATTTGAAAAGACGGCCGAAACGCTAGAGTTGAACTGAGCTTCACTTCTACTTGAACTGAGGGTGCCGGAAATCAACAAAGTATCACACTTCTGTCAGCTCTGGAACAATTCCTGGCGTGATTGCCAAACACTTTGAGTTTCACAGATGTCTGCCGTGCTGGGCACCCCGGCGAATGACCTCAACCTGCTGCACCACAGAAGTGTTGGCGCTCAGCTCCTCGCCCTTGCGCTGATCCTGGGGACACCCCACGCCCCTACGCAGTCTGTGGGAACGCGGCCCATGATTCTGCTGGTACTTGCAAGTAGAAGGGCACTCTTGCAAGATTGCAGCCAGGCTTCAATGGAGATGCGAGCAGGTGCCCTTAACTGCGCCACATGGTCGACCTAATGACCACCTCCTTTTCTGCCAAGCCTCCAGTTAAACCTCCATTCCGTACCTCCAAGTCTACACAACCCTGATACCTCTCCAAATACTTCTCATATGGACTGTGTGTGTGGAGGATGCTTGAAGGCCGAGCGGCTCGGAAAGGACCTCTCCTTAGCTTGGGCTCAGAAACTCACTGTGCTGCGGATGTCAAACGTAAAGTTTGTCGAGGAGCTCGCCAAATCATGAACTGCTGGAGGCCAGGTGGCCTCGCGAAAAGAACTTTGGAGACAGCTTGCGGGCTGAGAGCCAACTCGTTTGGGCCAACTGTCTGGGACGCTTGCTGAAAAAAATAATGACGTGTACATGACTGTATATGAACATCCAGTTTACGTTAAGCTACGTAAGGTGGAGCTTCGAAACAAACACACTTGCTCTTAAAGCTCCTCCTCAAAGCTTCAAGTCAAAATTGGCCCTTGAAGAATCGCAATTCGAACTTAACCTCTGGGATGCCGGGCACTGAAGAGCAGGCTTTGTCTCTTGCCACCACCCAGCAGTTGTAGGATCTCCTGAGCCCCAAGCATTCCACAAGACTGTAAGCGCCTGTAAGGTTTGTTTTCTCAGGCGTTCCTTTAATCTGCTGGAACGTCTTTCTCGGTGTCCGAGGCCTCGCCAAGGCCCCGAACATCCCTCCTCTCACCTTGCCGCTGCGCAACTGCGTGCGATGTGACGTTCAACTGTTGTTCTAGTGTGTATGTGTGTGTGTGCGCGCACGTATGGCTGGGTGGGTGGGTGTGTGTGGGGAAGGGCCAGTTCGGATTGAAGCAGGCAAATATGGTGCTCTCTCCAGCTCCAAGATTGCGGGGTTCGCACTGCCATCAGCAACACGGCTTCTAACCCATTGAAACCGAACCCGTCGAAGCATCTTATTTGTGCCAAGCATCTCTAACCTGCGGCATGAATCCCATGTCCAGCATTCGGTCAGCTTCCTTGTTCCCCAGCAAAGCCCCAACCCTTGACCCCATTTCCCAGCGTGTCAGGCTTGGGGGATGTTCCAGATAAATTCGAAAGGCATTGCTTTGGGAAACAGGTCGCGCTCCTTCAAGATGAATGCCCTGGTGTCACTTCAGCTGAAGTCCAATCTGGAGTTGTTGGGACGACATCCCGCCCCCTAACGTAAAGAAAAGTGAGCAGTAGATCCGCTGGAGTGTAAGTATCCGAAATTGACGTCCGCATGCAATCTTCTGCATAACGTTGCACAATGGACAAGCACATGCTACTACCAATTCGGTCGGCTTGCATCGAGCACGAAGTAGCGCACGCCCCGGAGCCCCTGTTGCAAGTGAAGCTCGGAGCTCGGGGGCTCGAGCAAAGTCTGAGGAGGCTATGAACTAAGCGATGTCAAGTAATCAAATCCTGAAAATAACAATACCTTAAAGTTGAGTATGCCGGACGGTTCATGCCTGCTATTAGCACGAACGACGGGGGCAAGCTGTCCACAACCTATACTCGTGACAACGATGGCAAGAAGGCATATGCAAATCCGTGCAGTCGCGTGAAAAATAGAGAAGGCTCCAGAAACACTCGCGGGGGCCTTCCGCTCCCCGTGGTCTCCATGCCCACGCTTCCGCTTCATGTGGCACAGTCTTGTGGCATTAGGGATTTGGGGATGGCAGCCCTTGGAGCTAGAATACTGTAGCTCATTTAAGAAGCCGAGTGCTGCACTCTGAGAGCCCTTGGCGCGGCGCGAAGTAGCTACATTTTAACAGGGACAGCCGGATAAACATTCTGCAGCCATGCGAACCTGTCGAGCGTAAACGCACCCTCTGGCACCTCGCCCGGCAAGCATTCCAACATGTGACCGTCTTCCATCAAACATGTGATGGGGCAAATTCGATTTTGCGCTCGCTTTTCGTTGAGAGCGGTCTTTGTTCCGTTCTCTCCTGAAGCTCAGGTCATCAGACGCAAGATGTGGCCAAGTTTCGCGCGGTCGGTCAGCTTGGCCTCCAATAGGGCTCGGGATGCAGCCCCCCGTGCTTGGGCCAGGTTCCTTTTGGGGGGTTCCTATATGTTCGCTCACGAAAGATTGCAAAAGACTCAGTCAAGAAGGTGCATATGAATGCAAGCCATTTCATCAAACACATTCAAACACCTTAGCACTGCCACCGGGGTCCATGGCCTTCTCCACCGATCGCCCATCACTTTTCATGAAGTCCATGGGCGTGAACCTCATGTGCAAGCGTTTTCTCTCATCGAACTGTGCAGCTCATGCGGCGGTGGAGCCTCCACGTGTTTCTCGCAGTTCTAGATTCAAGGAAGCCTGTCAAGTGACTCGATTCCCTCAATTCGCTGCTTCAAGACGGGCGGCCTCTGACACAACATACCAGCTGAGAAACTACTCATGTACAGGCAACGGTTACCTGAGCATCCACAACGCATGATTGAACCGCTCCACTGCGCGGCAACAAAGCGATGATCACTTCAGCTGGAGCACTCCGATGAAGGCCGATCATCTGAAAGGATCTTGCCTGGAGATGAGGCCGTTCTGGCCGCTTCTCATGCATCTGTGTGGGGGGGGGGGTGGCGCGCGTCCGTCCGTCCGTCCGTCCGTCCGTGCGTGCGTGCGTGCGTGCGTGCGTGCGTGCGTGCGTGCGCGCGTGCGTGTGTTGTGGCTGTCTGGGCGTGTGGGTGTTTGGCGTAGCCGGTGTTGAACGCTACGCTGGTGTGCACTGTAATTACAGCGGTACTGCTCAACAGCTCGGGAACAACTGAGGTTCAGGTTCGGTGGCTCAAGCCCAGGCACCTCGCTGAAGCACTTCGGCCACGAGCTCTGAGCAGAAAATGCTGGAGGTGTCCTCGTCAAACAGGACTGAAACCTTCATTTGCCTCCAATCGGAATTCTTGAGCCAAAACAAGGCCTGACATCTAAACTGCTCGGCACAGCGTCTGTGGTAGGAGCCTGCATGTACTAGCGGCATGCTGGCATGCTGGCCGGGCTTTCCCTTGGTGCATGCAGCCAACACACTGACACCGCGAGCAGTCCTGCTTGCCCTGGCAAAGGCCACACACCTTGCATGCCAAGAGTTTAATGGTAAGGGGCTCTGGCAGGACTACGATTTGGTGTTGGTCCATTTGCATGTAGCTCGAGTTGCTGATCTCTGCGGTCTGCCTATATTATGCTCTCCGAAGCGAGAGCAAAGTTGCAGGTGAGCTCTCAAAAGTTTGTTATATATAACATTGCAATTTCGCGTACCTTTCATGCCCCGTGTGCAGGTCGCCTCCACGCAGTCACAGTAGGCTTGGATGGTTGCCAACTGGCCTTTCTCATAGGGTCGGCTTTGCAACTCCTGATGATTGTAGGGTTTCGGGCTTTCACGCTCCATGCTGATGCCGACTCTCCTATCCAAACTTTATCTCGGAATTGCGGCACACTCCCTGCTCCTCAAAAGCGGCATCCAGGTCTGCGACAAGCTGCTTGCGAAACCTTGCGCAGTAAAAGCAGGTTTGTGGCTGTAGTTGACTGCATGACCGCCATACTGTCACTGCAGTTCCACTGTGCAGTATTTCAGCTGAAATATCGATGAACTGTGCCCACTCCCCGGCTGCTCACGACATGTAGTCTAGATATCCAGTGTGTCCCAAGGTCAACTCGCAAACTCTGATTGTTGGCTCAGCTGGCTCTGAATTCCTTCCATCCGTGGGCTGGAGCTGACGAACCCAGGCTTGTCCTGCGCGTCGAGTTGTGTGAGTTCCAGAATTCAGCCGACGGATTGAAAATGCTCTTTGAAGCTTTTTGATCCCTGCTTAAGAAGAGAGAAAAAATGAAATTTTTAATATAGCATAGATAAAGAACACATATCAACCTGTGTATACCTTGGAAAACCCTTTCTAAAACCCTCACACTGAGCAGTGATAGTTGAGGTCCGCAGAAGGATGAAAGCACGATTCTGAGTTGAGGCACCTGAGGCATCGATTTGGCTGGCCTATGGGGGGCGGGGGGAAGGGAATGATGTCACATCGCTCCGTTGCTGTATCAAACAGGTGGAGCTAACGCCGGTGCCCGCCTGGCAGGATACAAGCTTCGCGGATTCGACTAATGTAGCGCTCCAGGTCCCAGACTTTCATGCCAGTCACAAGCGCGTGAAAAACATACCTCAGCTACTGTGAGTGCTGGAGCTCCTTATAAGAGGAGAGCACGTCGGAACCATCTCGCACAAGGAATATTTGAGAAAACTGAGAACTAGCTTGCTGGCTAGCCCTTCCAGACACTTAAGAGCCATCCAGAATGTGCCTTCCCTCAACCACTGGCTCTGCCACAGAATACACAGATTGCTTTACACATCTCACAAGCATGGGGCGAGGTGAAAGCAAGGGACTAAACTCTCCACACACCTCGCCAGCAATATCACACATCTCCCCTCCCCCTCAAAGGAGAACCAGAGCCAGGTGCATCTTGCCCTCCTCTATCTCGGGGTGCGCACGGCGGACGTGCGACTCCGCCGAAAAGTCTGCAGGGTTGATCACCAGGCCCATGTGGTGGACCTGCGCAGTGGCTTCCTGCAGTACAAGCCTGCTCAAGAGGGTCGTCAGATCACCAGGCCTTCCAACAAAGGCAGCTCCGCATGAAGCATGCACCCCCACCTGAATGGACAGCGCCCCTCAGACGCTCATTGTTAGGAGATGTTATAAGGAGCAATGAGCTGCAGGGCGTACAGATCGGTGACGTTGCCAGGGCGCTGGAGAAAACTGGCTCACTGCACAGAAGCACGTCTCCAGACTGCAGAGCTTCAACTCTCACCTGGGCTCTCTTTCTACCACTTCCTTTGGGTTACTGCCTTCTGTATCTACCATGTTGCTGTAGGTTCGGCTGTGCGTTCTTGCACAGAAACACATGGTTCACCCTGTGACCTTGGTCTGTCCACACAGCGAAGCATCTTCAAACTCCACGACTTGGGTGCTCTGATGGAGTCCCATGGCAAGGCCAATCGGCTGCAGGCAAGAGGATGGCCCAACGGCTCGATTTCACTTCATTTCGAGGGCTTAATCTTGTATATGCTGTCGTGACGGCCATTAACAGTGCAAACGTGCTGAGCATGTAACTTAATGATCCGCACGTGGCCCTACGCATGTGGCTTTTTCTTGACAGCAACCTTGCGCTTGATCCTCCGTCAAGGCATTTTCTTAGCTAGAGTGTGGTGGTGTCTTCGAAGAGCCCTGGCATGCGAACTGCAAAGCATTGACGACGCTAGTGGAGACCCCTATGTGTACCGGCACAGCTTTGAGGCCGTCTGACATCTGAAATGCAGCAGATCTTGGCTTACGTCATCGACCCCAAATGGAACCTTCAGCATCTCCGGATCCGGAAAGTGTTCTGTGGTCTTGAACCCTATAAATCCTAGTCCCCACAGCCACGTTGTTCCGGCAGTGGGGCTGTGGCCACAGTGGGTCCAAGTCGGTAAAGTTCCTTTGGAGGTGCCAGCAAGCATTCCGATGCAAAGGGCTTCGGCATAAGCTGTTGTAGACTTGAAGGGATGGCTGGACGGTGTTGCAGACAGCTCGGAGTGATGTTGCGAGGATGTGAGCGGGCCCTGAGCTGGTTAGACAAAGACAACTGCGGCGTCGTCTGAACACTGGCACTGTAGACTGGCATTCAAACAAGGAGCATCATGCCATCGCACTCATTCTGATACTCTGGAAATCTCAGATAGAGCATGTGTGATAGACTTGAATCCCTCATGCTCCGTATCCTGGATCTCTCAGAAAGAGCTCCGAACCTGAAAGCCTCCAAAGCATTCCGAAAAGCCACACTCGCGACCAAAACCACATCGTTTCATGAATTCCGGCAGCGGCTCGTGAGCCAACGTGCTTCGGAAGTCGAGTCCAGAAGCAGCTCCACCTCGAAAGTGCAGGTTCCAACTCCGACGCTCGCCGAATATTTGCATTGTTACTTTGTCTGTATTATATATATATATATGTAGACATATATATATATACATCGATATTCAAGTAATATTTATAAAATACCGACCATAAAAACAATATATTATAAGAAATATTAAGGTCATGTTGCATCTTGTTTGTGCTATTTGCAACTCGTCGAATTAGCAGTCAGAATCGTCGCCTGCTTCAGAAGGACTTCTACAGGTGCTTTGGAAGGGGGAGAGTAGATTCATCGCAGCTTCTTTTCTTGTCGCTGTTCTTGCAGCTCTGTGCTTCAACCTTGGTTCTTCCTTGCAATCACTCCAGGGTTGAAACAGTGGGGTCAAGAAAGCTGGTTTTATGGTAAGTTCGGGAGGGGTTTTGTCGCAGTTCCGCCTGTTCTTTCCAGAACAACGTACTGATGTTGCAAGTGAAGCTTCAAGCCCTAGACCTAGCGCTTGCTGCATAACTTATGACTGAAAGTTAAACGTACAAGTCCCTGGCCAAGCGCAGCCTGCCAATCGTGAAACCTTCACACACCGGAAGCCCTTACAAGCTTCTTAAGCTACGAGTAGGACCCAAAACCCTGAAGGAAGCACCTTATGAGGTGTAAAGTGACCTCCCAGGAAGGCGCGGATCCTGGTTATCCCCATTCACGCTTTTGGCCTCGACGAGCTGTTGGATCAAGTCTGTGCCGTCCACCAGTGGATCCACAGAGTCCCGCTCCTTTGAGAGCATATGTCGACTTGTGTGTGCGTGTGTGTACGTTTAGCCACACACTGCACTTCGAGATCCCCAATCCGCAGCACGAATCCTGCCTCCCTACTGCAAACTGTTTAAACTTTTACTGAAATTCGTTGCCCGAAGGCCTTCTCTCCGTGTCCCTTGTGTGCCGTCTTGCTCTTCCGCGAGGAGGCGAGCATGAGGAGCAGGATGCCAGCAGACTCAGGGACAAACACAATATGTCAGCTGCATGACGTGTTTGGGGGAGATCGCCATGGCTCCTACACAAAAAAATCACCAGTGTGCATACATGTGTACACATAAGTTTGCGCGTACATGTAAATTTGTGTGTATATATATATAGCTGCTTTGCATGCCTGCTTGTTTCGTGTGTGTTGCTTATCTTTGCGGCGTAGAAAAAATGGCGCAGTGTTGCCTCTGCCTGCCAGCTGTTTGGGTTGACCTGCTTTGATGGAAGAAGCTTGCAAGGACGCCTGCGGAAGGATCTTCTCCGCGTTATCTTTGTGAAAGCCGTTAAAGACCTTCACCTGCGCGGCATGCATGATATCCGCGGGGCAGTCCTGCATGAGATGCAAGTTACCTCTTCTCGCCGCTCTTCCTGTTCTGCACACTGAGATCAGAGAAGGGCTCGGCAGGTACAGCAGTAAAGATCTAAGCTGATCAAGCTGTTCCCGTCTACGAAAGGTGAAGACCTGAAGGCTCTGACTGGTTGTGACAAGGTTCTCTCTGGCGACCTTGTCCAAAAATGCACTGAGCAGAAATCTACAATTGCCTTAACCCCAACCAGCAATCCCTTCATTAAGAGTGACCAGGGCCCTCGCTAAGCGAAGTTTCGCCGGGGTGCCCAAGGGGGCACGGCCTGGCCAGGTGACTCATCGCTTTTGAGCTCGTCGGGTTTCCGGATACGTGTCATGTACGACGTTTGAACAACCTGACGCCCTTTGGGCTCGGCAAGCGGAGCACCTGAGTGCCTTCCTTCTCTGTTGGCATGTGCACTGCTGGGTGTAAGTTCACGTGTGATGAGAGCATTTCACAAGCCCCCTGATCGGAGATCTGCTACATTCCGGGATGGCTTTGGAGGATTTGAGTTTCGGCAGCTGAAAAATACTGACTGAAAGTGGCCATCGGCAACTCCGGAACTCGGCTCAGCTCCCAGGGGCCCCTGCGCTGGACATGGAGCTCCGCGCGGCTGAAGAGGTTCGGCTCCGAAGACTCCCTCGCCTGGGAGACCTCAGAAGGCTTTCAAGCATTAGAAAACCTTCTTAAGTAAGCCCCCTCGTACTGCGAGCTTCCACTGCTTGTCGTGCAGGTGGGCCCTATAGTGGTGGACTCATGGTCCAGGTGATCCGTGGCCGACGCAACGCGTGACAAACAAGGATGCAAGAAGGGACAGTGGTGGGCGTGCGATCCGTTGCCGGGAAGTATGAGGTCATTGACTGGCTAGGCCCAGGCGAAACAGAAGCTTGACCTCAATGGTGCCACGACTTCGCGGCAAGGATTTTATGTCTGTGGGAACATCCTGGAACAGCTTATGATCAACAGATGCACAAAGCCGCCCGAGGCGGGCAGATACTATCTGTGCGAAAAGCCGAAATGAAAGTTTGTGTGCAGACTCTCCTATCGGGAATGGCAGACAAGGTCGCATGTCTCTGCTTCCGACATTATTTGCGCCACACATTGTAGGCTTTACTCCTTCTGCACAGATGAGACACCCAGCAAAACACAGCAAACTAGACGCAATGCTCCTACGCATGAGCGTCTCAAGCCAGACCAGTGACATAGGCTGCGGAGGCTGTCAGTTGCTGCAAACGCTGGCTGGCACTTCTAGTGGAGCATTTGCAGTTGCACCGCGCCCAGTCACGACGCTTTCCCTCATCCACCACGCGGCCGCAGACTGAGAGATCTGCAGAATCAGCAGCAGCAGATGACTGCAAATCCTCCTCCTCATCTTCCGCCTCACAGACCAGATCCAAAGATTGCTGAGAGCGTGCAGCAGGAAAAGGGATCCAATTAGGGACGTCAGGAATGACGACTGCTGCTACAAGTTGTGATTCTCAGGAGGACAGCGTGAGAATGCAACGGCTCAAGCCGTCTAACTCTCCGAGCTGCAGCCGCGAGTATTTCCCGTGCCGATCTGCCTCTTCATTCTCACTCAGCTCCTGCGAAAGGATTGAAAAGACCGGCTCAGATCCACGCTTTGCTGGAGCTCTTCACAGCTTTTAACGCGATCTCTAAGCTGCAGATGGGGCATACTCGGGAATGCGTCTCTAACAAGGAGAGGCGCAAGCATTAGAGGCGTTTTCGAGTTCACTGGTAACCTCCAGAGCTCTAGGAAACCTCTCCCACCACCGGGCCCCTGCCTCTCCATCCAAATCGACATCCTCGCTGGTCAGGTTTTCGATGCTCGCCCTGGGCATCGAATGGGCTTGTATAATTCAGGAGTCTTCAGCACTTCTCTACCAGCAGATAAGCGTAAAAATGCCTTGTTTTCCTAAATGTAGAAAAATATAAACAAATGACTAAATAAATAAATAAATAAATATATATATATATATATATGTATAAAGAGAGGGAGCACTCTTTGGCGGCCGCAAGCCGATGAAGACATCGCAGATTGAAGGCTATCACGCCCGACCAAGCCAAGTAGGCCGGGAGAGTACCGGTCAAGAACATGACAGGCCACATGTTGATGCATGTTGGAGCACGCATGTATGTGCATTGTTATGTTGTGCGCAAATATGGACAAGATGTTCATGAAGGGGGGTTGCGTGCCCAAACGCCCTCAACCGGCTTTCATCCCTCTCTGCTGAGGAGCTCTTTCACCAACTCCTCTTTGGCAGCCAAATGGTCCTGTTTGCCCGGACGCTTTGAACAGCAAGCCCAACATGTCGCGAGAAAGGGTCCTATTGAGATGTGATACAGTGGCTATGACATCATAACATAACCCTCCTCGTGCGAGGCAGTGAGAACGTCAAAGGCCGCAAGGAGGGATTCCACGTTCTTGCCTTGCTCCAAACATGCGTAGGCCATACGCTCGAGTCCGCAGAGGTCAGGGCCTACCAAGGTCGTGGGCTCCCCGCAGACAATCTCTGTGCGCAGCATATTGACCTCAAATGATCTCAAATGGCCCGAGATCAGAATTCAATTCTTCCTTGGACCGTTCTGGATGTGGAAGGGCTTGCGCGGAGTGCAATTCTGTTCGTTCCCTGTGCCATCTCAGAACTTTTGCTTCCTGGCCTGTGGAACTGCCATCTCAGACCTGCTAGGCATTACCTCCGAAACGTTGCCACAGCCATGCAAGCATTTGTATC